TTTGGGCTATGAAGAATATCCTTTCAAGAAGGATTGCTTGTCAGGCGTTTGAATCAGATTGCTCAGAATTGGTCTCGATGGTACAGTCACCTGACGAATGGCCAGCTTTCTCCAACCTTCTAGACGAGTTTGGTTTGCTACCACTACAAGAATATGACGCATTTATAGCATAAGAATATAGCAATTAACGTTGTTTTGCTATGATTGACAAACACCGTAATATGTTATAGCGTTTGGTAAATTTTAAACGCTATACTTTATTACTCGGAGAAATAAAAGGACGCGGATCAATGTTTTTGGATTTAGGTTTAATATTTGATAGCACTATTTTAGATTAAACGCTATGTAATCTATAAGCGGGTAATCATTAAAAAGTGCCCGCCTCTTAGAAAAAAAAATCATGGGAAAAAACGCAAAATTTGCCTAAGGCACGGAGACTCGACTCTTCACTGTTCTCCATTCTTTTCCAGTCTCGATTCTTCATCTCCCTCTGTTAATCTGTTCTCCAATCTTCATCTCTTCCCATTCTTCATCTCTCTCTGTAAATCTCTCTCTGTTCTCGACTCTCCATCTCTCTGTTACTCGACCCTCCATCTCCATCTCTCTGTTACTCGACTCTCCACCTTCATCTCTCTGTTACTCGACTCTCCATCTCCTTTTCTCAGTTAATCGAGTCTCCATCTCTCTTCTCACTCGACTCTCTAATCTCTCAGTCCCAGATCTGGTTGTACATTGTAAAGGTTAGGGTTTTGAAATCGATTTGGGGTTTTGTTTGTGAAATTATCATATTTGAGGTTCAATTTGGGGTTGTAATCGTTTTAGGGTTTTGTTTTAAGGTACTTTGGAGTTGCAGAAGCTTTCGATAGCCGTTTCTAGAAGCTTTTGGTGAATCAACAGGTATGTAATTGAAGGTATTTCGATGTTTTGCATGTTGTTAGTTTCGAATTGAGCTATTGTTTTGATTTGTTTTAGTGTGTGTTGGTTTCAAACTTGCATGTGTGTTGGTTTCGAGTTAAGCTACTGTTTTGATTTGGTTTAGTTTTTCTTTGTTAGTTTCGTACTGTTTTGTTAAAACCAAACTTGTTTCTATTTTTGTTAGTCATGTTTCTCTTTGATAGTCATGTAAATTGAGCTACTATTTTGAACATATTAGTTACTGGAGTGCGTGCGTGAACATATTATTTTGAACACACTGGGTTCTCTTGCAGGTAATAACATGAATGGCTTTTTTTGTGCTTCTGTTTCATTGGAATTTTAAGCAAGCTTGAAATGATCATCTTAGTTCATTGACGTTATTTTCTAATTCCATTTGTTGGTTTTTGACACTGAAACTAAAAACCATGGGTACGTTTGGACATAGGTTGGAAAAGCATATTTTGAGCTACAAGACTACTTCAACGCTGACTCTGTCTTTACTCTTGCTCATCAAAAGTATCCTTATGCTTTGGAAGGAATGGATACGTACTCCACTGTTCTTTATGTGAGCTGTTGTCACTATTTGCAAATTTTCATGTTAATCATCATGAAACGTCCCCGAACTAATCTTGAACATGATGTTGACTCTGAACATTATCCTGTTCTGATATCAGCATATACAACTTGATTTTAGACTGATCTGCAAGGATTTCTATGTTATTGTTTTACTTTTAAGTGATTTCTTGTCTTTGTTTTTGAAGCACTTAAAAGAAGAGATGAGGTTGGGCTATCTGGCTCAGGAGCTGATTTCAGTTGACCGCCTATCTCCAGAAACCTGGTATCATTCTTAGAATTTTCATTAGCAATATGCTCTTCTGACTTTGTTTCGCAAAACCTACATGATCCAACCACATATGTCTTTGTCGAGACTTTAACACCCACAGGCTTTAACCACAAACCGTCAATAGAAACTAGCTTTTAGCACTAGCATATTTCAAAATCTGAAACTGCAGAGTTTTACTCTTTGTTTGTATTTTTTTTCTGTAATGACTGTGGTAGCAATACGAATTGCAGGTGTGCTGTTGGGAACTGTTACAGTTTGCGTAAGGATCATGATACTGCTCTCAAAATGTTTCAGAGACGCTGATTGGAGATGCAGCTGTGTGGAGACCAAACTCTGAAGTTCAAACCATTGCCGATGCAGTAGGTAGTATTGTGGCTTGGCCTAATGATAAAATCATGTATGTCTAAACATAATCTTGTTATTTTGGTGAATTCCGTACTTGCTAAGGCATGATCATGTGATTTGAGTACTTACATTGACATGTTATCTAATATAAATTTCATTTTGTCTTTTTAAATCTGTTTTAGATAATATTAATTTGTAAATAATTTGATCAAAACAGAATTGAAACTGGAAATGGATTGGTCACATATTGCACAAAAAAAAATGCCATTAATTGAAACAATTGCAGTTTCATAACTGCTATTGTCATTTTATATATAGCAAAATAAATATGCTGTCAATAATACTATTTAATATCGAATATCAAGCGCTATTACATTAATAATTATTGCGTTAAAGAAAGCGCTGTAATAACGAATTTTTTGGTAGCATAACAAAAAACCGCTATAATTTGTCTCCGACCTATTATGACGGGCGATGATAGAGCGCTTGTTAAAACGCTACAGTAGAGTTATATAGCGTTATTCGGGCGCTACAGATGCTTCATTTTCCTGTAGTGTACGTGTTTCCTTTCCCTCTTTCTCACTTTCCCTTATTTCTCGTTCTTGTAATTTAAAAGCAGACTGCTTAGCGCGCTCTTCTAGACTTTTATTTTCAGAAGCTACTTTTGTAAACATTTCTCCTCCTAGTTGGGCAACCAACCAAGGAACTTTTTAATAAATGTGTGGTTGACAAAAAAAAAAAATATAATTTAACATTACATTCCAAAAAAAACAAAATCAAATAAATGTAGCATTTAATTAATTCATTGTGTTGTCAGCCTGTCACCATAGTCTCCAACTACGTTTGCTTATATATTGGAGGGTTCAACATTATATAGAAGAAACATGTCCAAAGTAGTGTCGATGTGGAAAGACTTTATTTCAACATATTTTCGTTACTTCATAGTTCAGACTATAAAAGGTACGGACTTGACACATTGCCAACATATACATAACTTAACAAAAAAGCCCCTAAACGCACAACAACATCACCATATTTAAGACCTTAGACGTTTTAAGACGGGTCTTGTCCACTCCACCCTCATGCATTCACCACAGCTCCTCCTTCACAAACAAAAACACCAAAAAAAACAAAAGTTGAAAGCAAGTTCGCCATTTGCCTAACCATCATACTCAAGTATATAAATATGTGTCTGGAAGTACCATTGGGGTGAAGAACTTGACCAGTAAAGTAGGAAGAGCAATGGTTACAAGCCAAGAAAACATACGAAGGCGCCACTTCAATCGGCTGCCCCGCACGTTTCATCGGAACCTCAGACCCGAAATTCTTAATCTTCTCCTCATTGAACGAGGCTGGGATAAGTGGTGTCCATATCGGACCAGGAGCCACACCATTGACACGTATTCCTTTGTCCGCAAGCTGAAGTGCAAGCCCTCGAGTAAACGCCACAATCGCTCCTTTTGTAGCGGTGTAGTCGAGAAGCGAAGCGTTTCCCTTGTAGGCATTCACTGATGTGGTGTTGATAATGCTGCTTCCTTCCTTCATATGTTTCAACGCATGCCTAACAATAATAATAAATAAAAAGTCAGTTACCATCACACGTACGTACGTGCGTGTGACTTTATATGAAGAAAAGATCACACGTGTTACCTTGTGAGGAAGAAGTAAGAGAAAATGTTCGTACGGAAGACACGCTCAAGTCTAGGCTCATCTATCTCCTCGACCGAGCTGCTTTCGTACTGCTCTGCTGCGTTATTGATTAAGACATCGATGCGTCCAAACGCGTTCACAACCTCATCAACAACCCTCTTGCAGTTCTCATCAAATCCTAAATCCGTTGGAATCGCAATCGGCTCCTTAGCGTCCGAGGTTTTAACCTCCTTCAACATTTGTAGCGTGTCATGTGCATCTTTTTCCTCTTGACCCTTAACGTAAGTGAAAGCAACCGTAGCACCTTCGAGTGCAAAACAGTATCCCACGGCTCGACCGATCCCGGAGTCTCCACCAGTTATCAACGCCACTTTTCCCTGATTGTACATTCATTTGTTATATAAAAAATCATCTAGCTAAAATACTAAATATGAATCAAGATCAAACATGAATCGACGTATCAAATATATAAGGATATGCATATAATAACTCGAAAAATGAACATGGCACGTAAAGAATTACGTATATGTAATATTTTTATGTCAAACTATAGGTTATAAAAATAATTACACGAAGCTTGTTGGAAGGTTGGTAATCTGAGCTAGAGAATTGTGGAGTTGATTCCATGACATGTTCTTTGCCAGGTTGTGCATGTTGTTTTTGTTTCTCAGACGCCATCGCTCTTACGCACACAAGCTGCGATAATCTTCTCTGTTCAGGTAAAGTTTTCTTGGTTTTGTTTGGAATTTGAGAAATCGAAAACGTAACGGTTGATGATAAGACTCTTGACGAATCGGCACAACACATTCATGGCCATATATACAACATGCTACATGGAAGTAGCAATATATCTCAACATAGGGTTTGACAGGTGGCAGGTTGAGGAACATGACGTGGTTGGAGGAGGATACACGTGTTGGTGAATGGGGCCAGATTTGTGGTGATCCGTGTGACATGGACTAAAACAGTGTCTCCTTCACACACTAACAAATTTCTTCGTTAGGAAGATTTATTATCTCGACTATACTTGGATAATTGTACCTTTAGTTATATATTTTTGTGAAATCGACTTTGTTGTTGTGCATGCATGACACGTGACGAAGATGTGCATTAATACACGTCGTCTTTTGGCAAAACGAAACCTCCTCTCTGCCAAGTGTTTGTCACTTTAACAAATTCTTATCAAGACAAAGCTAATTCTAGACCTTTAAGATACTATAAACAAATAGAGTACAGGACCAACAAAATTACATTCTCTTTGCCTTTGCCTGATCTCTTACTTCTGCTTTTATTACCAGAGAAAAAAAGAATAAGAAAATCAAATTGTGTGAAGAGAAATGGTCTTGATTACGAAGATGTCTCTCTCTTTCTACATCATTCATCTTCTCATTTTCTCCTTAATTTCCACTTGTGTTATCTGCAACCGTAAACGCTCTTAACCTCTCTCTTAGTGATATTACATTATGTTTTTTTGTATAAACTCGTACTTGAAATAAATATCCACATGCATGTTTTGCAGATTAAAAGATGATGTTTTGTAAAGAAATAAATGTTATTTAACATTTAATCGGGTCGTTACTAATTAGTTTTAAGCTTATTATATTGGAGTTTACAATTTCATCCCCATGCATGTTCATTTAAATCGTGTAGATGGAACTCTTCTCATTAATCGATCATTTTTGTTGTGTTTCAAATGTTATAGAGGCGGAGGATAATCTTCTACAAGGTCTAAACAGCTACCGAACTGCTCAAAGAGTTCCGCCTTTTGCAAAGAACGAAAAGGCTGATTGTGTGGCGGATGAGATCGCCGACAAGTTGGAAGATCAGCCATGCACAAACCATACCACAGCCAGCACGGTTACTCCTGGCTCGGTCCCTCCACGGTTAACAAACTACCAAGACATTCTCTCTGAGTGCAAAGTTGATCCAAACACTACCCGTGATGCGTTGATCTTGCCGGTCTGTATCCCTAACCGGATCCCTACTTTGGCTTTAACTAATTACACCCAAACTGGTTATGCTCGGTATCTAAATGATTCGAGGTATGTCGGGGCGGTGTTGGATCGGAGAAAGAGTGGATGGTGGTTGTGAGAATGTTTGCAACAATCTGTCAAAGAGTTTCAACAGAACCATTAAGGATGCAAGGAAGCTGCCAGTGATAAATATGCTTGAGGAGGTCAAGAGATCCTGCATGAAGCGGATATCTAAGCTCTGTGACAAGACAAAGAAATGTAAAACAAGGTTCCCACAAAAAATAATGTAGATTCTTGAAGGCAACCACAAGTCAGCTAAGTTTTGCCAAATTCTTAAAAGTGGCGAAACAGATATGAGGTGTTAGAGGGTAGTGGCAGTTACTCGGTGAATCTCTTGACTAGGGAGTGTGCTTGTTGTAGACAGTGGAATCTCACAGGCATTCCTTGTCCACATGCTATATTTGTTATTAGAGAGAAGAACCGCGATCCAGAAGAGTAAGTGTTACTTAATCTTAATCTCTTTTAACAATAATGTCATGTTAACGAACGTCTATTGATTATTGAGTTTACTTGCCATGTAGCTATGTTGATAGACATCTAGCTACACATGTCTGGAAAGCTACCTACAAAGACAACATAGAACCTGTGAATGGAGAAAGATTATGGAAGAGAACATGCAAATGATCAATTGAAGTGCCAGATAAGAGAAAGAAGTGAGGAAGACCAAAGAAGTTTGATAGGATTAAGGAGCCAACTGAATCATCAACTATTCCAACAAAGCTAACAAGAGAAGGAAAAATAGTCACATGTAGCATTTGTAAGCAGATTGGTCACAATAAGGGAACCTGCAAAAACACAACTGTGCATTCAGCTCCTTCACGCAAAAGGGAAAGACCAAGAAAGTCTCTTGCAAGTGTTCTGACTTTACCTTGTAAATTCAACATTTGCTATACCATGATTAATCAGATTTGTTATAGGATGATGATGATCCATGGAGCATCCACAATGCACCAAAGAGGTGGAGGAATGCTCAAAGCCAGTCCACACCACTTGTTGCTCAAAGCCAATCCATACCAGCTTGTTCTCAGAATCAATTCACACAAAATTCGCAGCATTCAAGTGCTCCAACAGCTAATCCAAGTGGTAGAGGTCGTGCTCATGGACGTCCTTCTGGTGTTAAAAATGGTCAAGGCAAGGGTAAAGGCAAGGGCCGTGGTAAAGGATCCGATGAAGCTCCAAGACCTCCTGTCTTTTTTATGTCCCCTTGAACTGATAAGGTCTTTATTGTTTGGCGACCTGAGAAGAAGTAGAATGACTTTTCTGTCTTTTATGTTCTCTTTTGTGTCTTGATTGACTTTTTAGGATGATATCTATGTAGGATGATGTGTTTGGTTGGTAGGATCCTGATTTGTTTTTGGTGGGATCTATACCTTTTCAAACTAAACGGCTCTTTTGGATCAATGATATTTTAGGATTATGACATTTCAAACAAAGAGTCTTACAACAACAAAACAACAAACAACATCACCATAACAAGACAACAAACTAGACTTTTACTTGTTTTCCCATTCCAAGGCACATTGCAACAACAACAATTAAGCATCCCCAAGACAACACAATCAACTGCCTAAGCATTTTTCCCTCTCATTACAACCCATAACTTCAATTTCAAGCTTTTTCTTCTCTTCCTCCAGTTGCTTCTTCTCTTCCTCCAGTTTCTTCTTGTCTTCCTCCATTTTCTTCATCTCTTCCTCAAGCTTCTTCTTCTCTTCCTTGGGTTTCTTCAGATGATCGTAATTTGCAGACCCTGAGACACTCACCATATGTTCTTTCATTGCCTTTACAGACTCTTTTAGATGACGAATCTCATCTCTCGCCTCCAACAAGCTCACTTTTTGCCAACCAAATGGCTTCTCTTCATCTGCCCAATTGATGAAGCCATGAACACCACATCTTAAAAGATCTTCTACCCGGATTTTCATTTGTCCATGCCTTTGTAACCGTCGTTGCCTTACCACATTTGCAAATAGGACTCCAGCTACGGCTAATTGAATTTGCATCAGACCCTGAACTTTGGCTCATCATTTTTGTAAAGATGAAGAGAAGATATAGAGAAGTTAGGGTTCTATGCTCCCAAATCGATTTGGGGGAATTGTATAAGGGCAACCGTATCTTTATTTGGGTCTAATTAACGACGTTAGGTTAAGTATTAACCGCAGTTAGTCATGTTGTTAGCAGAGTTGACAATCGTTAACTCGGGTGTATGATTATACCAAGTTTTAAAACACGATGATTTTAAAAGGCAATCGAAATTAAACCAGGCAATCGGTTTATGAGCTAAACCTATTAGAAATCCACCCAAACCAATATAATCGAATTATAAACCCGACCCAATCTAAAACTCGACCCATGTCTTACCGATTTCTTCTTCTTCTTCATTCATCCAACCCTTGACTTTCCAATTTTAATTTGGATGTATCTTCAATTTCAACGAACCTCAAAACGACAACGCACATGATGACGATGAGTCTCTTTCCTTAGGCTCAACATCGTATTCTTCTCAGATTCAACCGGTGACGTCATCTACGCTTCGTCTAGCACCACCATCATCAATTCATTGTCGCCTTTTGCTCCTCACCAGCTAGGACTATGTAGCTATCACCTACTGATTTCATGGCTGATTTCATGGCGTCGCCGTCGTATCTAAGCAATTCTCTTGAACATTATCAATCACCGATTCATACAATCTCTCCGTCAGCTCAAACAACTCCGCCGAGACCAGTGATGAGACAAATCAGATAATAATCCGCAGGAAATCAAATAATTAATACAATTCCGCCTCTGCTTCCATGGGCGACGAATTTTTGCGATAAGATACATAACCTAGAGTATCTGGAATCAAAACAAATCACAACCATCACCGGAGAGGTACAATGCAGACACTTGAGCAAGTGTATCAGGTAAGCTACAATCTAAACGAGCTCCTCTGATATGGAAAAATCCAGAACAACGGCGGTGTGAGCTTTATGGCGGTGAAAAAGACGTTTTCCTCCGTCTCTTCCGCCATTGATGCCGAACACAAAAGCTCGGAGATCCGATTTACAATGACAGAGAGAGAGAGAGAGAGAGGAGCCGAGTCCATGTTGATTTGCTTTTACAATTTGACGAAATCAATCGAAAAAGCTTAGGTTTAGAGAAACACACCAACCTCTTTGCCCATGATTGAATCTGGAATCAGATTTTGAGTATACTCTTATCTTTCTCTCTGCGACAATGAAGAAGAAGTTGGAACGCTTGGGTTGGGTTGGGTTTTAATTGAAATCAGATCTGGGTCATGGTTATTTGCTGTAATTGGGGTTTAATTCGGTTTAGTATGGTTTTTAGGTGGTTTAATTTTGTTTTGTTAACCGGAAATCGAGGAAAACCAAGATTTATGGAGATATAAGTTTAGAACTATAATTTGGGGGAGAAATAGGTTTGGAACTATTATTTCGAGGGGATATAAGTTGAGAAATGATTTTTCAGGGATATTTAGCACGAGGTCGTAGAATGGTGTGGATCTGGTGTGATGTAAATAGTTCTAGGGGGAAATAGATCGTTTTTCCCAAATATAATAAAATATAGATATTTTTTCAATATTTTTTTCCGAACTTTTTTTAATGTAAGAAAAAAATTTATTTCTATAACTGATTTCAAAAAGAGTTGTACAAAACTAGCAATACAAATTACTCACCAAACGATTCCCTCTTTTGGGCTTAAGACCTTCTTTTCCTGATAGAGTCTTTCACTTTGTAGGAAATAGAACTATTGGCTGGATTAAACCTTATCCCTTAGTCTAAAACTCAGCGTTTTTCATCTGTTTTACCCTAAATTCGTGTTTCTCTTTGAAGACGGCTAGGGTTTGAGCTTTCTGTTCTTAACTTTCAGCCTTTCAAGATCTGTTTCGCTTAGTGTTTCTTCCTCTTTCCGGTATCTTGTTCGGTGTGGGGTTTGTGAATCGCTTTTTCTCGGCTCCCCTGCTCCTGGTTCTGGTGCGGAAGAAGTTTGAAGGTTCTGTGTGTTTGTCGCGGCGGTGAAGGTTGCAATTTGTGTCTATTTTCGATGTCGGCTGCTATGGATAAGGCCCTGATGGCCATGTCACTAGATGATGTGGATGTTCCATTTGAGATGCCAGATCTTCCTCAATTTCGTTCGTGTGAGAGGAACATTCTGAGTTTGGTTGGTCGTTTGCTTAACCCTGACAATCAAAGCATGTCAAATTTGATTCTCAACATGCCAAGGAAGTGGCAAAAGGTTGGGAGAGTGCGTGGTATAGCTTTATCTAACGAGAGGTTCCAGTTCATCTTCAAGTATGAACATGATCTCGTGGAAATTCTGGAAAAAGGAGTCCATACCTTCAATGAATGGACCATTGCGGTGGAAAGGTGGACTGAACACCCTGCTCAAGACTCGCTGCAATTCATTGAGCTTTGGGGTTCAAATTTGTAACATTCCTATAAATTATTATACGGAGAAAGCGATTACTCTATTAGGCGACTTGGTGGGTCAAGTCATTGAAGCGGTAGTGGTTCCGGATAAGCCCCAAAATCAAGACTTTGTGAGAGTTAAGATAAAATTCGATGTTGGCAGACCTCTAAGGAAGTCGAAAGAGATCAATCTCCCTGGAGGGTTGAAGACTACTGTCTATTATCCCTATGAGAGGATACAGAAGCGCTGCTACTTCTGTCAAAGGCTGACTCATGAGAGGGATCTTTGCCCGCTTCTGATTAAGCTGAGGTTGGATCAAACTATCGACAGAAAACTCGGGAAGAAGGTTGAAAAACCGAAACCAACTCTGGTGCTTAAATAGAATGATCCTTTATTTGGGATTCTGACGGAAGAACAAGTGGGATTGCACCCGGTTCTGGGAAGACCTCGCATTGCTCATGATGTTTTAGAAGGTATGAGGCAATACCTTTTGGCGGGGAAGGATGAGGAGCGTAAACTGAGAGAAGAAAGAGTTAGGTCTTCAGTTGCTGAAACAGAAAAAGATCCCTTCCTTCAGAAAACAGTTTTGAGAATGGAGCCTCCTCCTATTATTTCCAAAGACATCAACAAAGGAAAAGGCATAGTTTTTGACTATGTCTCACCAGACGCTTCCTCAAAGTCAGATAATGCTTCTATGGGTGGGGGAAAGTTAATGGCTGCTGCAATTAGAGCTAATCAAGCTGGTCCTGTGTCTGATTGGAGTGAATCATTGGGATTTGCTGAAGACTCAAATCAGTTATGTCTCTTCTCTGTGCCAATTTTGTCTAGTCCGAAGGTTTTTAGGACTGGTTCTTTTGAATCTGGTTCATCCGGGACTATGACTAAAAAGGCTACTCAAAGAAAACGACCTACTAAGAATCAGAGGAAAGCACAAGTAAATGGTAAAGATAAAATCCCTGGTGAAATTGTCAAGAATCCGGGATTAGAGGAAGGAGTTGTGGGCAAAAGGAAGGCATGAAAGGGTATTATGGTGGAAGCAAAAGCTGCAAGGCTCAGCAAAAAAGAGATGGTCCCAAGTGGGGGACTGTCCCTTATCTAATGAGCATTCTAAGCTGGAATTGCCAGGGTTTGGGACGGCCTCAAGACCTGACGATTCCTCGTCTCTTGGAGATGCGGAAAAAGCATTTCCCGGAGATTGTATTTCTGATGGAGACCATGAACATCAGGAATGTAATTGTAGATATTCAAGTATGGTTAGATTATGACAAGGTATATACGGTGGATCCTGTGGGAAGATGTGGAGGGCTTGCATTATTTTGGAAAAAGGATGTCTCAGTGGAGTTTTTATTCGCAGATAAAAATGTTCTGGATTTGCAAGTTGAGTTTGGCCCTTCCAAATTTTTTGTTTCTTGTGTTTATGGAAACCCTAATAGTGAACTCAAGAATCTTGTTTGGGAGAGAATCACTAGGTTGGGAATCCTTCGGAAGACTAGTTGGTGCCTAGTTGGTGACTTTAATGAAATTCTCCATAATGGGGAAAAGATGGGAGGCCCGAGGAGGAGTGAAGCTTCGTTTGTGGATTTTGCAGAAATGTTAAATGCTTGTGATATGACTGAACTAGCCAGTTCTGGGAATGACTTTACATGGGGAGGTAGAAGACATGACCTGTGGATCCAATGCAGATTGGATAGATGTTTTGGCAATAAGGAATGGTTCAGTTGTTTCCCGGCTTCTAATCAGTTGTTTTTGGAGAAGAAAGGATCTGACCATCGCCCTGTTTTGGTTCAGCTGTTCTCTTCTCAAGAGAAATTTAGAGGATCCTTCAGGTTCGATAAGAGAATGTTACATCAGCCTCTTGTGTTGGAGGCTATCAAATCTGCTTGGCTTTCTCCGAATTCCCCTTATGGTCAATCTGTTTCCCATAGGCTGAGAAGATGTCGTAAAGCTTTAAGCCATTGGAAAAAGGAAAATGTCTCTAATTCCCTGGAAAAAATTCAAAGGATTCAACAGGAGGTTGAAGTTGAACATGCTGCTCGTCATCCCTCCTTTTTCAGAATGGCTAGTCTTCAAAGAGATTTGGTCAAAGCTCACAGAGATGAGGAAAGCTTTTGGAAACAGAAATGTAGAGATAAGTGGATGAACTCGGGTGACAAAAACACAAAGTATTTTCATGCGTCGGTGAAGGCTGAGAGATCAAGAAACGAGTTGGACAGTTTGTTGGATGAGAATGGAATTCTTAATAGATCTGAAGCTTCAAAAGGGGATGTTGCTTGTAGATATTTTCAGAAGTTATTCTCCTCTTCTTATCCTTCAGTTCCTCTTGAATTTTTTGAGGATTGCCAGCCTAGAATTTCTTCTGAGACAAACGAGATTCTGATTGGAGAGGTGTCTAGAGAGGAAGTTAGAGCTGCTGCCTTTGCCATTAAATCTTCTAGTGCTCGTGGAACCGATGGTATGACAGGTTTTTTCTTCCAACAATATTGGGATACTGTTGGGCCTCAGGTGACTGATGAGGTTTTGAGTTTTTTCAAGGATGGTTTTTTTGAAGAAGAGTGGAATTTCACACAGCTTTGTCTGATCCCCAAAAAGGTTAATTCGTCTCTCATGTCGGATCTGCGTCCCATTAGTCTTTGTTCTGTCATGTACAAAATCATCTCGAAGATTTTAGTTTCAAGACTGCAGCCGCTCTTATCTGACATGGTATCTCCTACTCAGTCGGCCTTTGTGAAGGAAAGACTCATTTCAGATAATATTTTGATTGCCCATGAAGTTGTTCATAGTTTGAGAACCTTTGATGCTGCTGCAAAGGAGTATATGGCAATAAAGACAGATATGTCAAAGGCTTACGATCGCGTCGAGTGGAGCTATCTTCATCATCTTCTTATTGCTTTGGGATTCCATCCGGTATGGATTAAGTGGATTATTGTCTGTGTAACAACTGTTTCTTACACGGTACTAATAAATGGGCAGGCTCATGGCAGGATTGTGCTACAAAGGAGACTTAGACAAGGAGACCCTTTGTCTCCGTTTCTCTTTGTTCTGTGCACGGAAGGACTAACACATCTGCTTAATAAGGCTGAGCAAAATGGTCTCATTAATGGGTTAAAGTTTTCTCCAGACGGTCCATCAATCCATCACCTCCTATTTGCTGATGACACCTTATTTGTTGTAAGGCTGATGAGGAACAATGCATTGTCATCCAGCAAATTCTTCAGACTTATGGAAGTGCTACTGGCCAGGTCATAAATTTAGATAAATCCTCTATCACTTTTGGTTCAAAGATAGGGGAGGAGATCAAAGAGATGATTAAGAGACGTATGGGTATCAGCAATGAAGGCGGTGCTGGTACTTATCTCGGACTGCCTGAGTGTTTTAGTGGGTCTAAGAAGGAAATGCTGGCTTACATTCATGAGAAACTCAAAAACAGATTGTCGGGATGGTTTACAAAAACATTATCGCAGGGGGGTAAGGAGATTCTCATTAAGACTGTGGCAATGGCGATGCCTGTCTACGCTATGTCGTGTTTCAAACTGCCTAAGTCTACTTGTGAGACCTTGACTAGTGCCATGTCTTCTTTTTGGTGGAATTCGATTGAGAATATGGAAAAAATTCACTGGGTTGCATGGGACAAGTTATGTCTACCTAAACATCAAGGCGGTTTAGGGTTCAAAGACATTGAATTATTTAATCAAGCTCTTCTCGCTAAGCAGGCTTGGAGATTGCTGTAATTCCCTGACTGCCTTTTCTCCCGGTTCTTCAAAAGTAGATACTTCAAAGACTGCAGTGTTCTTCTTTCTGAGGTGGGCAGCAGACCATCTTTCGCCTGGAGAAGTATTCTCCATGGTCGTGAGCTTCTAGTAAAAGGACTTAAGCAGATGGTGGGTGATGGTTCATCCTTATTTGTGTGGACTACTAAGTGGTTAGATGATGTGGATAGAGGCAGTATGCGTGCTCCTCTGATGAAGAACATTCTCATTAACTTGGACCTGAAAGTTAATGAGCTCATAGACCACCCTAACAAGAAGTGGAAGAATGAGGGGTTGGGTGACTTGTTCTTCCCTGGTGACATTGAGATCATTGTGAAAACAAAACCGGTCCCCTCTTCTCCGGATTTCAGTTGTTGGATGCATAACAAAAGTGGTGAGTATTCTGTTCGCTCTGGTTATTGGTTGGCTTCTCAGATTCACAAAGCAGAAGACATTTTAATTGCTACAGCTGCGCCCTCTTTGAATGGAATTAAAGATGACATTTGGGCTACCCTTGCTCCAACTAAACTGAAAGTTTTTCTGTGGAAAGTTGTTAGTGGTGCTATTCATGTGGCTATCAGATTAAAGACGCGTGGAGTGGTGATTGACCCTAGATGTCAGGTATGTGGAGAGGAAGGGGAGTCAGTTGACCACGTTCTGTTCTCTTGTCCCTTTGCTCGTCAGGTCTGGGCTCTAGCCAACCTTCCTTCTCCAATCGATGGTTTTAACTCTCACTCTCTGTTCCACAATATTCACTTTGTTTTAGCTTTGAAAAAGAACAGTAGAATCCCTCTTGAGACTAGAAGAATGGTCCCGTGGATTCTATCGATGCTTTGGAAAAACTGCAAAAACCTTCTCTTTGAAGGAATGGTTTATCTGGTCATGGATTTGATGAGAAAGATTAAAGAAAGCTCTGATGAATGGTTTCAAGCCCAGGAAATCGAAAAAGTGGAAGATGACATGGAGAGCTCTGTTATGGACTGCAAAAAAAATCATTGGAGACCTCCTCCCAAACCTTGGCTGAAATGCAATGTGGGGTTCTCTTGGGATAAAGAAAAAAAGTTTTGTGGAGCTGCTTGGGTCCTTAGGAATTCCAGAGGCATGGTTCTCCTTCACAGCCGTAGAGCTTTTGGTAACATTAGTAATAGACAGGAAGCTGAAATTGTCGCTTATTGCTGGGCTGGGGAAAGTATGGGAAGTTTGAAGATTCCAAGAGTGATCTTTGCGGTTGATGGTAAAGATCTTGTGTGTGCGGTGAATCGTCCCAAAGCGTGGCCTTCCTTCAAGAATCAGGTAGAGAAAATCTCCTTGATTTTCAATGGTATTTTGGATTGGAGACTTGAGCATGAACAAAAGAAGGCAAATCTTAGTGCTTTTCTAATTGTTCGAAGTGTGACAGTGGAGGATCGTAGTCAATCATACATAGCTCAAGGCTATCCTTTTTGGTTAAAAGAAGTGTTCACTAATGAGAATTGTATTATTTGATTGTAATATCCTTTTGTCTCTGATGGTGATTGCCCTTGATCATTTTTAAAGGAATGTAACTCCACTGTTTTTTTAAAGGTTAATGAAATTTACAGATGACAAAAAAAAAAAAAAACTAGCAATACCTACGTTCATATGCTTTTTAGCTATGAATTTTATTTGCATTTTCGAGTAATTACCAGAAACAGTTTAGCTCACTAATCTTTGATTTTCAACCCGATTTACATAATGCGGGATCTTTCCATCAAAATTTTAGGAAGAGAAAAGAGAGTCGATGCAATGTTTTAACATTTTCCAAATCTCAAATAAATAATCAAGGGAGCAAAAATTACTTTCTCGAGGAAGACAAACATTATTTTATTGTGGGATAATAAAAGAATCTAAATTGTTTCCAAAATGACGAGATAATGAAGAATAAAACGTAACATATAAGAGCATGTTTATCAATAAACCCCTTTGAGTATCATTAGAATTTTTTTAATATTAATTTAATTAGTTGTTTAATCTATGATACTCAAAAAGATTTTTGTTAAATTTGTATGTTTAATGGTGAAACTCAATGGATATGACTAAAATAATAATAAAAAAATGAAACGGAGAGAAGAGAGACGAAGAGAAGAGAAATAAAACGATAAACACAGATTTTTTTTTTTGCCCAATCAATGCGTCACACGTGGCCAAGAAGAACCGATCCAAAAGTCTCAGTGAATTGAGACGTTTCACCCAATATCAAGCCCAAAATCGATTTTTTTTATTCTTTTTATTAGGCTGATACCCACTAAATCTCACCAATAAACATGCTCTAAACATTTGATGTACGATACTGACAAGTGTAATTTTTTTTTTTGAAGAAAAAAAAAAAAAAAAAAAAAAAAATTACACTTGTCAGTATCGTACATCAAGTGTAATTTTGAAAATCAAATATATGTTTAGCTTTTTTTCAGCTTATGTTTTTTAGCAATCCGATGCACAAATTATAAAAATGTTATATATATATTTTTAAATATAATTTAACATTACATTCCAAAAAAAACAAAATCAAATAAATGTAGCATTTAATTAATTCATTGTGTTGTCAGCCTGTCACCATACTAGATATTTGGAGTCTCCAACTACGTTTGCTTATATATTGGAGGGTTCAACATTATATAGAAGAAACATGTCCAAAGTAGTGTCGATGTGGAAAGACTTTATTTCAACATATTTTCGTTACTTCATAGTTCAGACTATAAAAGGTACGGACTTGACACATTGCCAACATATACATAACTTAACAAAAAAGCCCCTAAACGCACAACAACATCACCATATTTAAGACCTTAGACGTTTTAAGACGGGTCTTGTCCACTCCACCCTCATGCATTCACCACAGCTCCTCCTTCACAAACAAAAACACCAAAAAAAACAAAAGTTGAAAGCAAGTTCGCCATTTGCCTAACCATCATACTCAAGTATATAAATATGTGTCTGAAATTACCATTGGGGTGAAGAACTTGACCAGTAAAGTAAGAAGAGCAATGGTTACAAGCCAAGAAAACATACGAAGGCGCCACTTCAATCGGCTGCCCCGCACGTTTCATCGGAACCTCAGACCCGAAATTCTTTATCTTCTCCTCATTGAACGAGGCTGGGATAAGTGGTGTCCATATCGGACCAGGAGCCACACCATTGACACGGATTCCTTTCTCCGCAAGCTGAAGTGCAAGCCCTCGAGTAAACGCCACAATCGCTCCTTTAGTAGCGGTGTAGTCGAGAAGCGAAGCGTTTCCCTTGTAGGCATTCACTGATGTGGTGTTGATAATGCTGCTTCCTTCCTTCATATGCTTCAACGCATGCCTAATAATAATAATAAATAAAAAGTCAGTTACCATCACACGTACGTACGTGCGTGTGACTTTATAAGAAGAAAAGATCACACGTGTTACCTTGTGAGGAAGAAGTAAGAGAAAATGTTTGTACGGAAGACACGCTCAAGTCTAGGCTCATCAATCTCCTCGACCGAGCTGCTCTCGTACTGCTCTGCCGCGTTATTGATCAAGACATCGATGCGACCAAACGCGTTAACGACCTCATCAACAACCCTCTTGCAGTTCTCGTCAAATCCTAAATCCGTTGGAATCGCAATCGGCTCCTTAGCGTCCGAGGTTTTAACCTCCTTCAACATTTGTAGCGTGTCATGTGCATCTTTTTCCTCTTGACCCTTAACGTAAGTGAAAGCAACCGTAGCACCTTCGAGTGCAAAACAGTATCCCACGGCTCGACCGATCCCGGAGTCTCCACCAGTTATCAACGCCACTTTTCCCTGATTGTACATTCATTTGTTATATAAAAAATCATCTAGCTAAAATACTAAATATGAATCAAGATCAAACATGAATCGACGTATCAAATATATAAGGATATGCATATAATAACTCGAAAAATGAACATGGCACGTAAAGAATTACGTATATGTAATATTTTTATGTCAAACTATAGGTTATAAAAATAATTACACGAAGCTTGTTGGAAGGTTGGTAATCTGAGCTAGAGAATTGTGGAGTTGATTCCATGACATGTTCTTTGCCAGGTTGTGCATGTTGTTTTTGTTTCTCAGACGCCATCGCTCTTACGCACACAAGCTGCGATAATCTTCTCTGTTCAGGTAAAGTTTTCTTGGTTTTGTTTGGAATTTGAGAAATCGAAAACGTAACGGTTGATGATAAGACTCTTGACGAATCGGCACAACACATTCATGGCCATATATACAACATGCTACATGGAAGTAGCAATATATCTCAACATAGGGTTTGACAGGTGGCAGGTTGAGGAACATGACGTGGTTGGAGGAGGATACACGTGTTGGTGAATGGGGCCAGATTTGTGGTGATCCGTGTGACATGGACTAAAACAGTGTCTCCTTCACACACTAACAAATTTCTTCGTTAGGAAGATTTATTATCTCGACTATACTTGGATAATTGTACCTTTAGTTATATATTTTTGTGAAATCGACTTTGTTGTTGTGCATGCATGACACGTGACGAAGATGTGCATTAATACACGTCGTCTTTTGGCAAAACGAAACCTCCTCTCTGCCAAGTGTTTGTCACTTTAACAAATTCTTATCAAGACAAAGCTAATTCTAGACCTTTAAGATACTATAAACAAATAGAGTACAGGACCAACAAAATTACATTCTCTTTGCCTTTGCCTGATCTCTTACTTCTGCTTTTATTACCAGAGAAAAAAAGAATAAGAAAATCAAATTGTGTGAAGAGAAATGGTCTTGATTACGAAGATGTCTCTCTCTTTCTACATCATTCATCTTCTCATTTTCTCCTTAATTTCCACTTGTGTTATCTGCAACCGTAAACGCTCTTAACCTCTCTCTTAGTGATATTACATTATGTTTTTTTGTATAAACTCGTACTTGAAATAAATATCCACATGCATGTTTTGCAGATTAAAAGATGATGTTTTGTAAAGAAATAAATGTTATTTAACATTTATTCGGGTCGTTACTAATTAGTTTTAAGCTTATTATATTGGAGTTTACAATTTCATCCCCATGCATGTTCATTTAAATCGTGTTGATGGAACTTTTCTCATTAATCGATCATTTTTGTTGTGTTTGAAATGTTGTAGAGGCGGAGGATAATCTTCTTCAAGGTCTAAACAGCTACCGAACTGCTCAAAGAGTTCCTACTTTTGCAAAGAACGATAAGGCTGATTGTGTGGCCGATGAGATCGCCGACAAGTTGGAAGATCAGCCATGCACAAACCATACCACAGCCAGCACGGTTACTCCTGGCTCGGTACCTCCACGGTTAACAAACTACCAAGACATTCTCTCTGAGTGCAAAGTTGATCCAAACACTACCCGTGATGCGTTGATCTTACCGGTCTGTATCCCTAACCGGATCCCTACTCTGGCTTTAACTAATTACACCCAAACTGGTTATGCTCGGTATCTAAATGATTCGAGGTATGTCGGGGCCGGTGTTGGATCGGAGAAAGAGTGGATGGTGGTTGTGTTGACAACAAGCACTCCAGGTGGAAGCTTTACCGCTGGTGCTGCTGCTGCTGGTGAGGCAACGTCTGTGAGAATAATGGCTGGTTTAGGGCTAATGGGGTTGTTGTTTAGTTGCCTTGTGCTCTTCTGAGCTAGTGATTGTTGTGTTTTGTGTGAAGACTCTTGTATCTTTTATGCTTTGTTTTTAACGGATATATTGTCACACCAAAAAAAAAAAAGATCTCCATCGTAATTAACAAATTAAGAAGTATAACAAAAGTTAGTGTGGGTCGTAGAAGAAGTTACAGGCTTACAGGTGTAAAGTTAATCCAAATTTAAAAATCTGATTATGGTTTGATATTAAATGTAAGTTAAGTCATACTTTTTGTTTCAATTCTATAGGGATATGAAGCTTCCTAATCGAATTTTAATAGGAATAGTTGTGGTATTTGTTACGAGATGTCTATGAATATATACACATTTTAAAGCATGATCATAATGGCCTCCAGTTTATATGAATATGTAAAATATAGAGATGTGGAGACAAGTCAATAAATAGGAGAAGTCGTTACAATATATTCAGTTATTTTAACAAAATTATGGGGCCGATTGGTAACGGCTGTAAGTTTTGGCTTTAGAAGCTTTGACTTTAAAAATTTGAGCTGTAAAGACTTTGGCTTTAGAAACTTTGTCTGTTAAAATCTGATTGGTAGCACAAAGCTGTAGAAGCTGTGACTGTTATTTTATTATTATTATTATATATTAATAATAAATATAAATTAGGTTAGAAATAAATTCATATGTAAAAATAAATAAATAAATAAATCGATAAATAAATGAATAAATAATAGATAAATCTTTTCTAGGAATAAAATAATATATATCATTCATTTATTTTTTAATAACCAAACATTGCAATAAGAAAAAAAAAACTAAAAATCCATTTTTTTGGTAGGAACTAAAAATTTATTATTAAAATTGAATATTAATTTAAAAGAAATGACAAAAGTTTAGAAATAAATATTCTAAATGCACACATTTATTTATATTTATTATTTGATGCCAAAAACTTAATACCCAACACATTATTAAGAAGTGAGATAAACTTAAAAAACTTATATGATTTTTGAAAAAATAATAATTCTATATACTCTTTTAAACTAATATTAATGGTGATGATGAAAATAAAATTATTATTAGTGAAATGGATCTTAAAAGAAAGATAGAAAAATGATAATAATTAATTTATAAAAACAAAGTTGTGAAAAAATATGAGTAAATGTGTAGAGAGGTTTTAGTTATTATGGGGATAAGAAATAAAGAAGATTTTAATTGTTTATTTGTTTGATAAATATCTCCAGAAATCTAAAGCCGTGTTTTTGAGACTTTTAAAAAAGAAGGAAAATAAAGAAGGAAAAAGAAAAGAAGGCTTTGAGAACTTTAAGAAAAATTAAAGTCAAAAAAGCCTAATTGGCAAAAAAAAAACTGTGAAGACTTTAGAATAGCTTTAAAGTCCTTAAAGCCTTGTGCCAATCACCCCCTATATTACAATAAACACTATGATAACTTAAAACGTTTTGTCGATAATCCACTTTTATTATACTAAATATTTTTTTCATACATATTAAGTACCAAATACTTGGAACTTTTTCTCCAAAAGCATAAACCAATCAACAATCTTTCTCCATGTTAACTTACAACAAAAATAAAATACTACATAAGCTGCAATGATCCAAGTTAAGCTACTAGTTTACTTTATTAAACTCAACAAATCCATCTCCATTGGTTGTTCTGTTCGGTCTTCATAGTTAAGCTTCTTCACTATACCCTCAAGTACACCATCAGACCCGAATTTACCCCTAATATCTTTGTTGCTCACAGGACCCGGAAGCTGGAAAGAGATGGTGAAGGGGCCTGGAGGGCATAAGTTTTGTGATAGCATCTTGAAGACTTGATTGTGTACGCGCACTGTCTCCTCCCCTGTTGTTGTTACTCCCGTTATCAGAATCTTACCGTTCGGATCGATTTCGCAGGTAAACTCATCTGTATATATGTTTTTAACATGTCAGATAAAACGGGGAAAAAAACACAAGATACAAAGTTAGAAACAGCTTTTGAACACATACTTATAATAAAAGAGTGAAACTTCTCAAAACCACATATTCTTAAGCTACATTGAAATATATATCACAAGGTTTCGAGACTTACCTTCATTTGTTGAAACACCGGGCAGTGAAACACGGAAATAGTATGAGTCATCGAATTCAGCGAGATCAACCAAACCAATTGTTGGTCCAATCTTCCCCATGGCTGCACTTCCGGTAAGGGCAACTCCGGTCTTTGTTTGAGCGATGAGGTTAGTAAGCTCTAGAGTTGAATCAGAAGGCAGAAATATCATTGCTGGCCCTCCTACTCTCTCGGCATTTCCATTGGACATTTGACGTATGATGAATGGACCGATGCTACTGTTCAATAGAGTGAAATTTTGATCAGTAAGAAAGCAAAATATTGATCTATATAGGTAGCAAGTTAGAACATAGCCCATGTAACATGGGCCTAGGGCCCTCTTTGAACTTTTATAAATTATGATACAAAAATAGATCCCCAAACTTTTTGTTTCTAGGCTCCCAATATTTTAATCTTTAAAATTTGCTTTTATTGTCTTATAATTATCTTAAAATTTCCCAAAAGAAAATTATTTTTAGGTGCGCCTCCTATATTTTAAGGCATGCCTCATATATAGGTCAATAAGAGTTGAAAACAATGAAAACAATTAGATCCAGTAGGCAAGATAAATATTGATCTAGAACCATTATCCCTAACCCTAATAAGATGTATGAGTATTCATAAAAACAAATTTTTTTTAATGATTTAAGAACCACATACTAGGTAATAAGATATATTGTCTCCCATGAAGTTTGTAAACAAGGGTTTAACCAAGAAATGAAAGATGAAACATAAATTCTATCAAAATCACATTTTTAGAATAAAATTTAAATTTAAATTTTGAACATAAAATTTCATTTACTTAGTGTTTTGGACTAAGTTATTTCGTCAAAGTTTAAGAGTCTTTATTTTTACTGACAAATCAATTCAAGTTAAGACTTACCATTGAGAAAAAAAAAATGTTTGTGCCGAAATTAGCACCTCTGAATTAAACTGAGCAATTCAGTCAAACCGGAGTACCCCGGTTAGCCTGTTAATGGGCTAGTGGGCAAAAGCCCAGGGAGGTGGCCAGCCGACCTCACGCCATGATGGAAAGGTCGTCCGGCCAACTTTCCACATCCGTAGAATGAAAACTTTCTCTTTCAAAATAGCAAGTCCTCGAAGACAAAGGAAATCCGAAGATTCAAATCCTAAATAAAAGGAAGTTTAGCTGATCTCTAAACCTTCTCTAATCATGTATAAATAAGGGGGTTTGTCCCCTATTCAAAGGATCCACAACTTTCTACTAAAAATCCTAATTCTTTCTATGTTCTTTAGCAAAACCTAACATGCTTCACAAGAGATTAATTAGAACCCTTTTTGAAATCGAGTTCTTAATAAAGAGAGTCAATTGAATTTGTTTTCCCCTTTAATTATATTCATTGTGTGAATTTACAATTCAACCATAAAGAAAAAGATTCAAAATAGAAAAAAAAATCAATTAGTGAAATTGGACAAAACTTCTATGGATTTCTCCACTGAAACAAACACAACGTTGTGCAATCAACGTCGATATGATAAATATATAAGATAAAACAAAGAGTATGATGATGGGAAAAGCAGAGATAGATCCTAATATCCAAACATTTTGGATTATATGAATCAAGATTCGCCAAATCTAATGATTCTCAATTTGGATTCGGATCCGAGGACATCGGATATTTTACCGGAACTAGTGAAAATATATTAAAAATCATATTTGAGATTAAGTGGATCTGTGAGTTTGCTATTCGGAATCGGATCTATAGAGAGCCGATATCCTAATTTTTAGAACAGATCCAAAATCAGATCTCGGTTGTAAAATGGTGCAGAACTATAAAAGAGAGTGGTAAATGAAAGCAATAAAAATAACCTAGAACGGAAAATATACTATCTTATTGTTCACATTTGTATTTCTCAAAACATAAAAAATGTTCTAAACTACAAAAAAAACAGAAAATAGTATATGAAAAATGACTAACTATTACCTTTATTGTAGTTGTGTTGAGAGAATTCTTCGTTCTTCTGATAGCATGTGTGAGAAAATGATGAGGGTGTGTATAGGAGAATCATATGTGTATATAAGAGGAGCGCTTACTAGATGGTCAACTAATCTTTATTAGGAAAAGAATCATCAAGATAAAAAAGACTCTCAATAACCAATCACTTTTCAGATTTTTTTAACTTTTATCTTCATTTATCTTACGTGTCCAACTTCTCTATTACTTCGTAGATTTCGTTTTAACAGTTATCATGTTTGTTTATTTTTACCATTTTCTTGATTTTTTGTACTACTATCATTAAGTTTTATTACTTCTTATGAATCATAGATTCGAAAGCGATATAATCCATACTGCAACAATATAATGTTTCCAATTAGAATTGATAAAAAAAATTTTTCGATATTCTAATACAATGATAGTTTTGTTATAAAATATAATGTAAACATTCATATATGTGTGTATATTGTATATGTAATAAGAAAAAGAAAACGAGTGGAGGAGAAGTGAGTTAGAGTGAGAGCAATAATGTAATACCCCCGATTTTAGGAATATGGTGGTACATGCGGAGAGGTTTAAAAGAATTGATTTGGCCACCTATGTCACCAAAGTAAACTTATCTTTTTGGTCAACCGTCCTGAGAGAACTCCACAGTTAAGCGTGCTTGGATTGGAGTAGTTCAGGATGGGTGATCTTCCGGGAAGTGATTATCGGAACTGTGTGAGTGAGGACAAAACACGGGGAAAGATCATGTGGTGATTTGTAGGGACGGTAAACAAGTCTTTAAAGCCTCTCAGACATAGCGGACCGGCCGTCAGACAGAGGTGGGCCTTCTAAGAAGTGATTATCAGAACTGTGTGAGTGAGGACAAAACACAAAGAAAGATCATGTGGTGATTTGTAGGGTCGGTGGTGCGAAATCCATCAGCAAAATATTAATGGGCTTTTACAACAACAAGCCCAGCCCGATAGTTAGCAAGAGAGGCGGCGCGACCTGATAAGAATGGTTTATCAGGTCAGCTATATTCTCGGAACGGACCTGATTTTGAGGAGATATCGGCGTGGATCTGGGAGCAGCTAACCTAATTTGAAGACCTATTTAAGAAGAAGAAGGACGACTTGGAGAGGGCATCGCCTACCTACTATTAAACCTAATATTCACAAACACTTGTATTCTCATACACTTCGTTGTAAACTGTTGATTCACATCAGTAAATCCTTTCGTTCTTTAGCAATTCAACTCTCAAAGCATCATTAAAAATCTAGCCCTCTTTAACCATAAATCTAAGAACAAATTTCTAGTGTGGATTTTATCACCCATAGTCGGTAAACAAGTCTTTAAAACCTCCCAGACGTAGCGGATCGGCCGTCGGACAGACGTAAGGCCCACTGGCCCGAGAGAGGACGTGGGTGCTCACTGGTAGGGTTGGTCGGGGCGTTACAAATAATAACACACATTATTAACTTTATCTCTTCTACTCTACATTCACTCTTTGATCATAAAACGTATATATATAGGAAAGATGACTTTGAGCTCAAGCAACTTTGAGCCCAAGTAAAATTAGAATAAACATTATCTTGATAACATGGGAAAATGTGGATAATCACACTCATTATTATCTATTTATAACACTCCCCCTTGATTATCCATCATCATCAACGTATTACGTACTATCTCGTTAAAAACCTTATCATGGGAAAACCATATAGGATAAAAACCATGATAAGGAAAAAAGAGTACAATGACGCAATATCCCCTGGAATTGATGAGTCTTTTCCTTTGTGTACCTTTCGTAGATGATGCATTTCGATCATTCTCTTTGCTTCTTTTGATCTTGTCAATATATGACAAAGATTTTGGAGAGGGATAAACATGCACTTTGATGTCTTTCTTTTGCGTGTTATTTGATGCCTCGTTAAAAACTTTGTCATAGAAAACCCAGTGGGATAAAAACCATAAAAAGGGAAAAAGAGTTCAGCCACGCTCATCATCATATGTCTCCTCCTGGAAGCATCTTATTCAAAAGATGCATTTCGATATGTAAAGATACTTTCTGAATGTTGTATCTGGAAGCGCTTTTGTAAATTGCTTCATTGTTTCTTGAGAGATGTACTGGAAATTAACTTCATGATTCTTCTCGGGTTCTTAAATGTAGGAGAAGAATCTTGGAGGTAGTACTCTTGTCGCTTTTGATATAGCTTCCTTTGAATTGGGCGACATGTGCATCAATGTCTTCAAATAATGTTGATGGTTTTCCACTGATGACTGTATTGCTTGCTTCTTGTATATGTAAGGACATTATTATGAGCCATACAGATTCTCGACATGTTTCATGGAGCACAATAATTTTGGCATTGCTTGAACAAACGACGACCAAAATTTGTTGTTGGAAACGCCACGGAGTTGTTGTTTTGCGATATAATATTTATATAGATCTGATATAGATCCTCCATCTGCAAAACCAAGTAAACCAAACTTGGGGTTTCTAGAACAAAGTAAGTCCAAGTCAATCGTACCTTGCAGATAGTGAAAGACTCATCCCAATGTCTACTCGTAGGAGATGAGTTTATACCCTGCAAGTAGATTAGTAGGAAATGCTAGGTATGATTCACAAAAAGATATATAAATGGGTGACGAGCATTTATATATAGTACTTCATGATCAAATATATTTATTTGTATAAAAATGAGATATAGGCTTGTTGGGGTCGGATTCCACCCGTATTAAGTCCGAGCTAAGACATAACGCCTCGGGACGTATTACCAAACCGGCTCGGAGAACACTGCCGGAACAGCTCGGTACCAATCACTAAACTGGTTCGGAGAATGCCGATTGATACGGCTCGGGTCATCCTATACCGGTTCGGGGGCATTTGTCGTGACAGCTCGGGAACCGATACGTCACCACGCCCGAGTTGAGCCTTCCTTTCACCCCGAGCCGACCTCGCGGAATTACCCGAGGCAACAGGAATCACGGACGTATCCGAGCTGGGCTCTCCTTTCATCCGAGCTAACTTCGCGAGTCGCCCGAGCCGTTTCTCTTCAAGAACCCGAGCTCAGTCGACGAGAGTATCCGAGCCCAATCTTCTCAAGCTCTCTTCAGCTCGGCTCGAGCGCCATGCCAACGTCCATGCTGCCCGAGCCGAGATCATCAAGACACCCGAGGCAAGTACTTAACATATGAGATAAAGGAGAATCTTCGAAGATCGACTCAAATCAGGAAATCTTCCAAAAAACTCCGAAGAATAAGGAAATTATCCTAATCCGCGATATTCTGCGCTGACTTCAAGATAAATGGAAATCT